CCCCAGGCTCCACTAGCGAGGCATCCCCTCTATTATCCGCCTCCAACCACTGCTTCCGCTCGTTCGCGCTGTCTCTCCTTCTCCTTATTCCGCTTCCACACGAGTTCTTGCAGCACTTGTCGCATAGCACAACTTTCACGAGCGCAGACTTGCTCTGATCGTCCTCAGCATACGAGAAAGGGAGTTCGAGCGTCTTCAGCGGCGGGCACGGGTCGTCGGGGTCGATGTTACGCGGCAGGTGAAGCGGACAGCGCGTGTTGCCACAGGTGCTTTCACCTGCGCCAGAGATGACTTCCTCTTCCGTCCGCCAACGGAGGGAGAACTGACGGGCAGGGGACGTTAGTCATGCGAACGAGGGGAACATGTCAACGACACACATTCCCAGACTTGTAATGTTTCAGGTCGCAGACCGCATACTCTCGATAGAGGCTCTCATAATACTTCCGCGCAAGCTTATCTTCCCAGGTCCGTTCATTTTCTTCAGTGTTATCACGTAAGAACCTGCACACGAGGTCAACACATGGCTTTGTAGCATGCATATGGGTGTTCGGGCGTACTTGTGCCTCTCCTTCAATATGTCGAATTCCGTTAGTGCTGACGGCGGCGTGGAAGTGGAGGCTCCTGCAGACCTGTACAGCGACATCTCGCGGTCGTTCGATGCCCTATCTGCGTGAAAATTGAACAAAACGCGGTGCAGGGTGGTGGTGGTTGTTCACAGGCAAGGCGGCCGGCCGAGTTTGGCAAGTAAGTCAGTGCAGGGTCATATATAAGCTTCCCGGACGAATTCATGACGAGACAGGCCTCCCAGCGGCCGAAGTTCAGCGGAGATTCACCAAGTTCACTTTTCTCTACAGATGAAGACCTATGCCGTTAATGAATGAGAAGATCGGGTAGCAACGCGACGGTGGGACGGCAAGGTATGAGAGATCAATCGATCACAAGTGGAAGGTTTCATACACTATACATTGTGCTCGTTTCCTAGTGTTACAGACGGGTGTGCTAGCAATACATGCATGTCAAATACAAACAGCTGTACACGCCAGAACTTGCTCGCGAACCTGCCGGAGACTATACCAAGCAAGGCGTACCCAGCCCGTGGGCAGCGAGGCTCGTTAATAATAAGCGAGCAAACGAAGGTGAAGACAGACAATCAGGAGTGAAAAAGGACGACAGGGTAGAAGGAAAGGAGATCGTAATGAATGGAAGTCTAAGAGTCGAAAGAGGCGGAAATTTGAGTAGGATGGGACGAGAATTTAAAGTCGGAATACGCGGGAGTTGACGCGCTTCTCGTGAGGCTTCTTCTCGGAAGTAGCCTCTGCGGCCACAGCGGAGGCCGTCTTCTCGAAGCGTTGCTCGTCGAAGCTTGCAACAGAGTCGCCTGTGTGGTGTGCCGAAATGGGCCTCGTCACGCTTCCAGTCGGGCTAGGTTGCGCCTTGGACGCGGAAGCGGACGCCGGGTGCGAGGACGCAGACCCCGTCGTGTGCTGAGTGGCGGATGAGGACTTCGACACGGGGGCACTCGAGCTAGGGGACACACTTGCGGGAGCACCGGGCTTGGCCGCGGACGCGACGATGGCAGTCTTGACTGCTTTATCGAACCTATTGTTCGCTGTAATGACGGCACATAAGGTGCTGAACAGAGATCACCAGACAGACAACGTACTATATGCGGTGTCTGCGTCCCACATCATGACGCCGCCGAAAGACGAGTAGTTGGTCTGTGCCTGTGCAGCGTACTGAGCAAGCGTGGAAACGTCGACATAGCCGGTACCGGCGGCGGCAGGAGACCCAGGAGCGCCAATGTAAACCTTGACGTTCTTGTTGAATGACGTGGTCTTGGCCCAGTTGTCCCATGTCGCGAAATTGTAGTCCTGAGGCACAGAGTTCAAAAAGTTGGCGTCAGGTTTCGAAGACAGGTACGTACAGAAGGCTGGTCCAGGCCGCAGTAATTATTGTCTGTCAAACGCCCGTGAGCCTCTAGAGAGGGCGCAGAGAGCATAAGACCACTTACAGAACTGCACGTAAACCGCATCAAAGTCGGCTTCGTTGAGAGCAGCACCGATGTATGCATCAGGGTACGGGCACTGAGGTGCCGCCGTGATGAGGTACTGCTTGCCCGTCGGCGCAGCAAGCGAACGAATCTGGCTCACGAACGCAGCGTAGTGCGCGGGGGTTCCGCTCTCGATGTCCAAGTCAAGTCCGTCGAGAATCGCGGTGCCGAAGGGACGTGTCGAGCTTGAGCCGCCGAGGAACAGGTTCCACACTTGGGTCGCGAAGCTCTGCGCCTGCGAGTCTGACGAAAAACCGACTTGCCCAGTCGCGCCGCCCAAGCTAAGCGTGATTGCCTTGCCCTTGGACTGACACAGTTTGATATCTGCCTCCATGGCAGACTGGCAGTTGGCCAGTGCGGTGCCGGAGAAGACAGGATCATCCCATTGGCTACAAATCTGAAACCGACGCTTAGCGCCCAGGCGCAATGTTTTGCGTAGAAAAAGTCTCACATTGGAAAAATCGATGACAGGGTCGCCACCTGTACCCTGAAAAATGTACAGGAACGCCAATGGGATGGTGTCGATAGTGTCGTC